GAACAGATGCTTGTAGCTAACGTGAGGTAAAAGGTGCAGTTAGCAACGGTGTCCCCAGCCACGCGCTCAGTTTGTGATTCCATCCGTACGTGGTACACGGTATGACGTACTCGCCTACTGAAAGAACTTTCATATTTGATTTTTTTTTTCTTCATTGCATATGTGCGATACATGCGGGACTCGATGGTCGATGCTGTGCACGACGTGACCACTGGCGGGGACGACGAGCAGTTTTCTCATGGACCTAATGGCGAAGCCATAAATAGGGCCACACAAATTACTCACTCGTTCCATTTTTCTCCGCGAAGGCAGCCTTCGAAATAAGCCACGGGTGCGTGCGTCCGAGACTTCGCGAGAGGGCTGCGCTAAGACATTCGCCGCATTCGATTACCGCATAACGTCGCCGGTTTCCATTAGGGCACATAGCCTGCCCCCGGGGCGTCGCGATACGCGAGCATGTGGCGGCTATAGCGTTACTGTGACACACATCGGTGCGCTCGAAGATACCCAACCCCATAATGTATTTCAGGGCTGAACGCGCTACTGCGGCAGTCGTCGCGAGCCCCTCACCGCGTAGTTAATAAGTAACGCGGCCAGTTCCGCCGTCGAGAAGAGGGACGCTCATCGAGAGCTTCCCTGACACGACGACGAGGCGCGGGATTAACAGCCCGGATTGTCGAAGTCACCGCCGCCGCGAGGAATTACGCGCCCCGGCGAGCCCCCAAGGTGCAGCAGCGGCTGCAATCCATTAGCTGAAATGAATTAGAAATCTTCACAGATAATCCAGGGTCTGGCGCGAACGAGCTGCTGCAGATGACGCTGGCGAAACGTTATCCGTTTAGCCCCACGTCACTGCATTGCATAAACTTAATTTTTCTTCTTGCGCAAGCGCACGGTTAATGCGCTTCAGAGCTGCAGTCACCACGGAATTCATGCCGTTGCGCGTTATCAGCCAAACACTAAAGGCCCACTCTTTACCGCGCACTGAGACGACCGGACACCGCATACGAAGAGATTTTTGCCACGCATCGCCCATTTGCCAACGCCGCGGGACAATGCTGTCGGGGCAATGCATTAATGGTACCGAACAGAACAAGGCGCCAAACGAAAGACGCAAGAGACGTGCAACAGAAAACACAAACACCGAAGTCGATTCAAGGGCACCGTGCGGAAAAGAACGTAGGCACACGAACATTATACGTCTCTTCTCTTAAATCCCAGTTTGCACGCCTTTCTTCAACGATATATAGGTCAACTCAAAGCATGGAATTTTCTCACCATTGTTGGTCTACTGATGGAATAAAATCGATAACGGTGTAAAGAGTGAGAAAACAATATACCAGGGGTCGGTTCGTGAGATAATAATAATAATAATATTTGGTGGAGTTGAACGTTTCTAAACCACCATATAATTATGAGAGATACCGTAGAGCAAGGCTTCGGAAATGCGGACCACCTGGGATTTTCGTAACGCGCACCTATGGAGCTAAGGAAGCCCACGGGCCAAAAGCATTTTCGCCTCCACCGAAAATGCGTCCGAAGTTCCGAGAAACTCCGCACCCTAGGTTGCGAATAATAGTGCAAAACGGCACGGTAACTTATAGAGTACCACAGCGAAAGGAGCGGAACAGCTAATTTCCAAGGCCGTTTTCTCTATTTAGGACCGCATAAGGAATCCAAGTAACGAGAATCAAGCCTCGGGTTCAATAGAATGCATATATATCTCACATACCGATTGTGTAACGTTATCGATGCATACGAAACAATCGAGAAAAACAGAAGAAACTATCGCTAGCGCCAACGTTTCGACCACAAAATGTCTTCTTTTGGTCGCGCCAAACGAATAGCAACGCATACGAATACAAGTCGCCTGCACCGGCAAAGACTATAGACGCCTCGTCGAAAGGTCACTTCCAACGATAGTTATAGCGCGAGAACAAAACGACGACACAGAGACAAGAAGGACACGAAATACCTTCTTGTCTCTGTGTCGTCCTTTTATTCTCGCGCTATAACTATCGTCATGCCATATACCAACTAGCCCAAGCTGCCACATTTCGAAGTGACTTCCGAGCCCGCAAGGCAAGTCTTTGGCTGAACAAATTTTCAAGTACGGGTATATACGCATAGCATTAGTTGCATGCATAAAAAATAACTATCGAGCACACTGCCAAGGTCTACGCGAGTATTCGATGCATGGCGTCGCAGGAGTATTGCGCCACGTTTCCGCCGCCATGCATACACTTGACGAAAGCTCGATGTGTGCTCCAACGGCAAGCAGTGTGTGTACACGGAAACGGGCGGCACTACAGCTGGCTCGCTCCGCTGTTATAACCATTGTGTCCGACTAGCTATACGAGATGACGCAATGAGGCGCACTGTCGAGGCACCTCGACTCCGGCGTTGCACGACACCCAACAGCTGTTCCGTGTGGAGCGACGAGCCGAGACAGAACTGTTCGGAGCGTCGCTATCTGTTCGCTCGACGCGAATGAGCAATAAACACTCACGCTCCTGCCTCGAAAAGTGACCCACAATAAGCAAATGAGCTTATCGCAAACACATCCTACTCCTCCGCTGCTGCCTAATTAGCCAGATTATCTCGCCGCCGCAATTTCCTGTCTGGAGCCAAACTTAGGGCCAAACGCGAGCGATGGACCGTGGCACGTTAAATTTATCCCGGCTAAGCACACATCGGGTGCAAAGGCTACGGGCTACTACTAAGGCCCCGGAAACTCGGCGCTACTTTCGGTTTCAATTAACATGCACTCTCCTAGCAGTTGTCGGCCGGGCATTCTAAGATCTGGTCGAACGGAACGAGGTTGATGTGCCGGTTCGCATTTATTGGTTTTCACGTGTTTTTACAAATGAAGAAATTCGATACTACTCTGAAGAACTTTGCATTCGTTTAAACGCTTTTTTTTATTTTTAATTTTGTGAATTTTATATTGGGTGAAACGCGGAAAGAGGTAGTTTTGAGTTCGTGGCGCTTGCACTCCGCTATCTCGCACGGCCGGCGTGCTAACTATGGAAAAAGATAAAGGCAGCAAGTTGGGGCGGGCAGACAACGGAAGCCGCAGTGAGCTACGCCGAGCAAGTCAACCATGCATTCCACGAAGATGGCTAAATCGGGCAACACATGTTTTTCGCTGCTCAGCGGTATGTTAACACGGGGTTTTCCAGTTCAGCGAAGGTTTCCTATAGTGGCAACGGGTGTAAATATTTAGAGCCATTGTTTGAGCAGGTATTAATTTTGCAAGAGTGCATGAGTAAACCCAGTTCTCTGCAAGCCTGACTAGACTGACAAACATGGGACGTACAGAGATACATGGGAGGTACAGGAACCTTCTACCGCCTGCTACTGTATACATTCGCTTGCCTCTAAGAAAGGGCTATTGGTGTAAATCGTCACGACTGACTCTGCTAAGCATACCCGACGCTGATATGGCTATAAGCCGTATACATATCCATCCAATCGCTGAGACGAGCGAGATCCACGTCAGCCGATAAAATCCAGCCCACGAACTAGCGCAAGTCAGCAAACAGCCTTCGGCATTTTAACCTAAGCGATTACCTATGTACAGACACGGCAGGTAGTGAACGACCGACGCGCTCTGCGCACAGGCGCCAACGCGAGCTGCACATTCATGGCGTACATGACATGCAACAATATGCGACGGCAAATTGAGCAATCTTGTCGGCATTTTCGCGAAAAAGAAAACAAAAAATATGGGCGCCAATGTCGTCAGCGCGGAGAGCATCAAAAATGCAACTCGCTTAAAGTTCTCCGATTTCTTTTGACTTTGTTTTAAAGGAAGGATACCAATAGAAATAGTAGGCGTCATCTGATATTTACGCACGCTTCAGTCGCTACTAAGACCCCTAAAATAGGGGAGGGGACAAAAAAAAAAGCGCTCGGTTTCTTTTATCATTCGTTTACGCACCTCGCTTCATTGGCTTCCGGACGAGGCGCGACAGGGCCTGAAAACGGTTGCTGCCATCACAAATGATTCGGAACAACCAACAACTGCGGCGACCCCCCCCCCCCCCCTTACAGAACATCCACGCGTAAAAAAATCCGGAGACTAAGCAAATGTTCGGGAAACTCGTCGTTCCCATCGCCGACGTTATCAGCGAAACGCACGGCTGCTGCGCTTCCAAAAAAACGCGCAGCGACCCCCCAGGCACCCAGATATATACGGGATCGTTCGCGTTTATTGGTAGCAGGTAACGGCCGAAGTCATCAGCTGCATGCACGGGGCCTCCAAAAGGGGTCGTTGAACGCGCCACAACGCCAAGCCCCGCGGTACTCTATACCCGCGGAAAACTATAGCAGCGAACGCCGCCATTTTTCTGACCTAACGTTCCCCGCTTATCTTCTTCGCGAATCAGTCCTTCAGAATGCGGCAAGATGGCCGAAGCGTTAAGAAGGCGAAAATAGTCAACCACTAATTTCAAGCAGGAAGCGAGACGGAAATCCACACAGATTTATCGTATCGTAGAAAGCTCCTCGGTGGTCGAAAAAGTCTTGTTCGGGAATCGAACCCGGAACCAACGCCATTGGCAGCGCGCGGGCGAACTCGTCGACCACTCGAAGCACGTAGACACGAGTAGCTGTCTGCTTATAATAACGCGGATTTGTTTTTTTTTTTTTTCGCCGAGTCCCTTGTGGCGTTTTTTGAATCACTTGCATTTTCCGAGCAAATGTAGTTATTTTCTAGTGATAGTCACTTCGCTGACTAATACCGCGTTTGTCGATCACTTTGTGTAGTACAATCTTAGCCGACCCTTGAGACATTCACATTTGACCATCGAAATGTAACAGATATCGCCACGAGTGCCTCATGTACTAATCCAGTTCGGGCACCCGGCATTTGGCTCAATGACCCAACCTTGAGAATCAACTATCGCGACGTTGCTATCAGGTAGTCTCCTGCTGTCTCCGTAATTTTAATGAGCGAATGTGTGAGGCCTATATGGGTCGCATAAATAGATACTTACCTCCATGACGAGATGGACATGGTGGGTGGTTTCCTGTAAAAAAAGAAAATATGAACATAATACAATATAAGCTAAAAAATTAAAATATTTTTGTTTTTGCTAAACGAATACGACACCTCCGAATAAAACAACGAGAGAAAGAAAGGACACTGTAAGAATAACGTTAAGAAATCGCGAACGTATACTTATTGAGGAAATGTATAAAAAGGGCCACAATGATACTTGTCATCTAAATCGCACTTCTTTCCTTGCATTACAACCACACGGTTGACAGCTTCCAGGACATGAACGGCATGCGCATTATCAGCGTGACACGGCGCATTCCAGGGAGGAATGTGACTGGAACAGAATTTTACAGGTCCCCTATCACATCTCGCGCAAGCGTAAGCTCCAAAGTAACCAGAGTAAACTTGTTTTTTTTTTTTTTTTTATGTACAGATAGATGCCTGCTGTAGGCGATTCTTTGTTCGACACTGCGTTATGTAACACTCTCGTGAGGGAGAGAGAAACGCACAATGCGCGGGCAGCTGGCATTCTATTGAACGCATGGACGCGATAAATTCAGAAATCAAAATCATTGCACGACACATGTTTTATTTCTTCGTGCAGTTGTGTACACATCGGAAAACGGGTGTTTGCAGACCAACAATTTCGATCTTTGTTTTGTTTTTCTTCCTGGTTACAATGTTGTCAAAGGGCAAGCCGATATTCCTACGTAGCAGTGGCATAGAGATGAAGAGGACAAAGAGAAAGACGACAAAGAAGATATAGTGGCCGCGAGCTGATCGGTATATAGGTGGCGCTGCTCGCTATAGCAGTTGTAGATATATCAGTGTCAACTCCTTCGAGTCCCTATCCTTCCCGCTTGCCACGGTCTCTCAGGGTATATGCGAACACTTATTTGTCACGCTTCCATTTCTGCCATAACGCCTGCCACGAGTCAACCGCAAAACAAAACAGTAATCCCAAAGCGCCGGCATACAGTATTCCATGGAGAATAAGGTCCTTCATAATATACAGCGATCGATCTACTCGTCAAAATAGCCGGTTCAGTGGGTCCATTCAATCTCCACTGGAGCGAAACACCTCGAGAGTTTCGCTTCGCAGTTTTGTTCGCTGTGTCGTTTGTATCTTCTTCACACAAAAGTATAGACATTTTCGTCGTCATGATGACTGTAACCTCTTAATCTCTACTCCCACTCTTCCCTATGCGGAGGTGACAGCCCTTACAACGCTCCGCTGCGGCCATTTTCTACAGACAGCATCACCCGCATTGTCGAATTGTCCGCTGTACAGCGAGACGAATGTGCGTTTACATGGAACAATGAGACAACTCATTAAAGCTGAAAGCAATGCAACATTACGCGATGCAACATTAGGCTGTATCGTGCTTTCCCAATCGTTCTCTGCACTGTTAACACTTTTTTAAATGAATCCCCATCAGCTCTCCACGCGTCAACCCTTTCAAACTAAGACTGTGAGGCGCTTGTTTTTTTTTTTTTTTTTCGACACCAACTATAAACGAGCGCACTGCAATCTTTCTTTTTAGAGTACAACTATACACTTCCGCTATCTTCTGGCGACACGTAGGCAAGAGACCCAATCACGTGTCACATGTGTTCGCAATGATCCCGTGGTTAACAGCGAGCCCCCGAACGTATTCCGGAACACACTTTGCCCGTGGGTGCGCCACTCTGTGCAATCCAGTTCAGACTGCAGCGCAGCACGTGTTCCGGATACAGTCGAAAGTACAATTTAAATACATTACACGCCTCGCTCTCGGCACTTGCGTGTATTCGTTCTCAACGTTCCTTTTCCTCCTTACCCGTATGGCTTACATTTCCACAATCGTTAAAGGGACCCCAAAGAGCGAAACGAGCTTTCGCGCAAAAATAAAGTACCGTTCCACACTCCCAAAAACGCCGTTCTTGCCGCGACACGACGCTTGCTGTATAGGCGTGAAAACGCGAGAAAATAAAATGCGGCTGCAGACGCCACTTCGAGATTCCCGCATCAAGCACTGCGACGTTACGGATTTTGAAGGCGTCTACTGGGTCCCAGCTAGCTTCTAACCGATAAAAACGAAGTGCATTGCTATCTGCGAGCGTCATATGGGCCTAGCACGCGAAGTTTCAGAAATTTTCATCGATCCGATGTCGCGAAAGTACCAATAATACACTAGGAAAATTTCTGACGTCACGTGCGATTTCTGGCGCGAAATTTGAAAATAATACTTCAATTTGGCATCTTCTCCGCTAATAAAGAAATGATTATTGCGAAACGTATGACAGTTCTCAGAGTGCACCAAGTGAGTGTTTTTTTTTTTTGGTGTTCCCTTGAAGCGCTGGAGCATCCATGTGTGTTCATTATTTTGGTAGCCGAAGTCAACTCGCCAGCGTTCACGTTGAACTGATTTTTATAGTGTCCGTGTCTGAACACCAAATTTCACATTTTTACATCAACTTTCACATTCACGAGGATAGAATATCCTCGAAATTCTAGCTGGAAGAAAAATAAAGATTATGATTGAAAAATACGGAAAAAAAAGAAAGTAATACGGAGAGGCAGCCCACCTTGCAGTCGAGCAGGGCGACCACGTTCTCGTGATGCAGCTCAGACAGCTCCTGCGGGAGAAAAAAATAAAAGGCGAAGAACACAATGAGAGGGCAGTTTGCCTCACGCGTGAAATCCGTGTCAGCCAGCAGCCACGTTCACAAAAGGCCGACCCACCCGAGCACGCTCACGACGGCGCCCACACCGAATAACTCGTGCGGCTCTTCATCTCCGGGCAAAGTGAATGCGTGGGGCCAGCGGGGCAGTCGCAAATACGCGGTGTTACATAACGCTTCGCTGGGCCTTCCCATTCGCTAGCCGCCGCCGTACAGGGGTGTCATCGAAATACACGAGCCGCGCGGACTCCAGCGTATAAGCATACAGCGCAAGGTTGCCGCCAGAGTTAGATACGCCAATCGCACAAACTCACAAACTCTAAACACGAAGTTTCGGGATGGTGCCACATGACCCGAATATACGCCAGTTGCAAGCATTTGTTCACCTTTTTTTTTTTTAATACGAGACGATCGAGGAACGCGGTCCAACACGGTAACTCGTGCACACACACATACGCATATCGACGGAGGTTGCACGCTCAACCGAGCACAATCATTTCCTTTTGATGCGGTAAGAATGGAGAAGAAACCACCGCATACGCAAAGTTGTACAACTTTTCAACAACAAAAGCAGTCGCGACGTTACGAAAGCTACACAGCCAAACCCTATAGGATACGCATAACGGACGTCCGCTGATATCTGAAGAGCGCGCGGAGAGCGACGGCTTCGGACAACGGGATACAAAATGGCGCAGTTTTGCGGGGACGATTTCGCATGTGTGCCTAAATCAGCATGCTGCCTCTTACGGATGCAGAATGCAGGCGTCCTGCATCTCTAGATATGAATACAATGTTTTGGGAAAAAAATAAGAAGTTCGAAAGCAGAAACCCAGGAAGTAACGCTCTCTGCAAGAACGCACGATAGCTAAGAAATTTGACGCCTTAACGTTAGCTCTCACGTAGGTTAATGTTTCTACGGCAATAATGTTATGCTATATAGATGAAAGCTAACATCAGCGTGACCACACGCCTTTGCAAATTTCTTTATTGTTATATTTTACGGTTACTGACAACACCCTCTACCGTTTTTCTTTTTCACTGGAGTAGAGCAATTTACTCTCGTGTGCTTTTTTGTCATCGTTCTCTGTGTTATGAACCAATGAAAACGAAAAGCAGACAGATTGTTTAGTAATAAGCTTTCCTGCACCACTTGTAATCAGTCGTACTTATTATAAGGAAAAAGAAAAAAAAACAAGCGCAACCCCCCCCCCCCTAATTTTGAATGCACATGGATGCCACCTCTTTACTTTCCCCGACATGCACACCCGAGCCCACGGCAGCAACGCCTTCGCGACAAAACATCTCGGAAACAATATTCCCACGAACCTAGTGCTAGCAACAGATGCCCAAGAAAGCAGCAGCACGATCGTTGCCTCCCAGCTGACACATGCGGAAGAAAAAGCCCCGGGGGATTCACTGAGCTCTATATCAGGAGGAAGATGTCGAGAGCACTGCCTTTTTTCAGACACTGCAGACAGTGCGGCTAAAGAGAGAGAGAGAGAGCACCTGACGGAAGGACCGAAAATATAGCGGGACAAGCCGAGGCATTGTTTTTCAGCCTGCGCAACACTGGTCGCTTCCGCGTCCCTTACATTGTTACGAGGAAAAACGTGACGCAACGACGTACATGTAACCAGCGCTTAACAGCGAACTGAATGCGTAGTTTCGATAGCCCGCTGCGGAAAATAAATTGCAATAACAAGCATGCCTTCAAGCAGCCGTATACTCGTACAACAGCAAATCGGTTCACTTCCGCTTCCGCTCACCGTTCAAACACCTTGCTACATCCCGGGTCCTGAAATTCAAGCTCGTTCATCATCATTATAAAACGCAAACCAACTGTAGAAAACAAAACGCGAAACCACGAAATGACCTATAACGCGCGACATAAAAAAAAAAACGTAATATCCGGCCGCGAAGGCCTGTCTATGCGCCTAGAACTAGCAAACAAAACAAACAAAATTATTGAGGATAATGTGAGAGAACGGCTGGGTGCTGCATATGAAGCCGCGATGACATGGATGCATACGCAGCGCGCAATGCAGAGATAACCGACTCATGGGCCATTATCTCGACTGATTGTTCCAGACGGTGTACGAACGCGAGCACGCGTTAAAAATACACTGGGGTCCGCATCGTCGAACCCGCAACGGTATTCAAGTCGGGGAGAACGAGAGATGCATATCGGGGTCGGGTATAACGTAACCGCTATATCTACTATAAAAAAAAGTGCGAAAACGAGTCGACCTGACACCGACCGTGTTACTGCAGCTATCGCATTATACAGCTACCACGAATGGCCAAACAAAAACAAGAAAAGAAACTGGACGATCAAAGAATAAATGCAATGACCCAAGCCTCTATTTATGCCACCACACACTCCAACCAAGTTCCAGCGCGTGAAAAAGTTCACTACGGTGGAATGATTATTCTGCACGCCCGGAAGTCGCGGGTTCAAACCCTGCGGCAGCGATCACACTTCGGAACGTAAAACGCAAGATTTTATTATTATTAAGTTCACAAACTAATCACAGCATGAGTGGCGACGACGACGACGGAGACTCGGCCCCAGCTGCAGTATATAACGGTGCATTCACACGCGAAGGAAAAATTCTCCTTCCCCGCGGACCAGTCACGTTCCATCCGACGAAACCGCGGAGGCGTTGCGTGCACACAGCCGGAACGCGGCTTACGAAATCTGCGCATGCGCACTCTCGCGCTTACGGAACACTTCTCCTGCGCCGGGTACAAGGTGGAACGCATACCAAGATGGAACGCTGTTCGAAACGACGTCTGCGCGCGAGGCATTTCGGTCCGTGGCAGAGAAAAAATTTCTTTATCGAAGCTGCCAGATAGACCTCAGCCCCACCGGGCTGGTCGACATCCTGGACCTGATTAGTCGAAGCCGCCGCCCGAGGTCGCTGCACCAGAGTTCGCGCACATACTGTCGGATTGAAATAAGTAAGAGACGGTTAGAGTATTGGTGGCAGAAAATTAGAGAGAAAGGACAAAAATAAATATTGGAAAAATAAAATATGGACAGTGTGCCGTAAATGGCAGAGAACTTAAGCTGAAAATTTACCTTTTTTCCATTAAGATAGAATTTATCGAAGTAGAGGCATTAGGCCAACATAAAAAAAAAGGGAAAAAAGATTTTTTTTTTTTTGTCGAGCCTGGTGGCATACTTGTCACCACCCCGTTATAAAGGGGACGCTCATAGCATCCATCCATCCATCCGGTTCCTCTAGTGTGCAGCAATTAAGTAGGGTCGTCGCCCAGTCCTCTTTGGTGGGGTTCAGTATGGGGGTTCATTTTGGCAAGCCCATAGCAAATGGGAAGTGTTGGCCACTGTCCCACAGTAGTCGCACTGCACTTATTTTTGGGTCATAATATTTGGCCCAAACAACGAAACGTTCCTTTCCTTTGACCGCGTCCTCTCCTTACGTGAGGCTTCCTTACAACCAAGGACCGACGGAGGAAGCAAGCGTACTCTGAAAGCTCCCTTAACCCGTCCTCGCGGGAGGAATGGTTGCCGCGCTCCTGCGTTCGAGATTATCGAATATAAGCTTTGCTCACAAGCGTTTATTCTGTAAAAAAAAGTTGGGTGACCACATTACTTCCAAATTGAAGTGTTAATATAGAGACGGGTGTACGCTTTCTTCCAACTACGATTACTGGATGTGAAAAGCCACCGCAGTCGAGCGCAAAACGTGGTGCATTCTAGCAACACTGCGCGCCGACGTGCCTGGCACCGTGCACGCACGCTCACCGCTCGTGTCTCCCCGCAGAGGTGGGGTGGGAGGGTTGCCTCAAAAACGAAAACATCACGTGGGCTAGCTGTGAGGCGAAGCGCTCGTTCAGGGCAAGGAGCGGACCTAAGGGCTCACGAAGGTAGCCCCAAAGCAACCTTAAGCTGAGGAAGCGCCAAGGAAGCCTTCACCGAGGGCTCCTCAGTGAGGAAGCTTTCAGAGTGACATAAGGCGGCCTCACAAAAATGAAGGCTTCCTCACTGAGGAAAGGAACGTTTCGTTGTTTGGCCCTTTGAGTGTGGCTGCACAGAGTGCGTGTTTGTCTGTAGGCACCGCAGGACGCACTCCCCCGCTTTCGAGAGTCCCTACGCTGGTGCGGGATACAAGCAGCGTTGCTCGGAGGCCGGACGGAGCGAGGATAGGGAGTTCTCAGAACTAAGGTCCCTACCTTTTACCTAGGGACCTTACTCGTAGCGTGCGCGTCATGTGATTCTCCGACCACAGCGAAAACTCTTCCTTTATGCACTCGTGCGAATCCAGCTTTATTCACGTTCATCTGGTCCGCCTATACACAAGTGTGCCTAAAAGAATTCGTAGGAGTGTCACGCGAGTTTGAAGAAGTTCGATTTCAGCAAAACAAAATAAATAATAAGTCTGACCAAGCTCTTTAGTTCTATAAAAAGGAAAACAGGCTACGACAGACAAAATACTCCAGAATACAGCACTACTCACTAAAAAATACCGTTGAAAGCAAAAAAAAATGAAGCGAGAGTTTCGTACAAACACGCCTCCTGCCACATTTAACGCGAACAGATATGAGCAAAAAAAATATGTCAGGGCTTTTCCTCCTTTCAGTCTGTATCTATACAGCGATAGATTCTGCTCGGCAGGCGTTTCCTTTAACCTCCGCGTGAGCTCGCTAGAAGAAAATAAACTAAAGCAGCTAGCTGCCAGCAAGTGTCGAACAAACAGAGAAAATGTAAACGCGCGACAAACGGAGTTCCCAACTGATAACAACGAGATGTGAAGGTCGAACGAACAATGTTTCGCAGCAGAGCGTGAGCATGCAAAAAAAAAAGCTGCTACGCAAAATGCGCGATACAGTGTATATATAGCTCCATGTCATGTGCACGTCGTACCCAACGAGAGAACGACCAAAATTGTGGGACCAATACGACGCATTTCCCAGGCTGAATAATAACGTTG